ATGAACGTAACGGATGCGTGTCTGTATACGCCTTACCCTATATCGATTATTTTACACGCAGCTTCCCCAGCAAGATCCAGAACTACTGGAGCTAAGGGAGGGGGAAATGTAGTAAAGATAAGGGCTGGCGACCGGAAGATCACGTGCTGTACGGAAAGAGTTAAGGGTCGACCCTCCCTTGTCTCCGCCCCTTATAACATGACACACCTACTGCTGGGGGTATAAAGCCCGTGTTGGCTGGAGATCTGGTGGGATAACCTTGATGTGTAGTGTTTGCTACATCTGGGTAGTTGAAGTCACCCATGAGAACCAGGTTCTGTTGACCAGAAGCTTGCCGTAGTGTCCCAAATATTGCTTCATCGACTTTATCATTGTGGTTTGGAGGCCGGTAGCAGATGCCCGCTGTAAGGTCCTACTTGGAGACGACCCCTCTGATTTTAACCCAGAGGCATTCAATAGAGCACTCACAATCACCGTAGTTGACTTCGATACATTCGAGGTTTTCCTTAATATAGACTGAGACTCCTCCACCTTTTTTTCCCTGCCTGTCTTTGCGAAACAGCCTATAACCGTCCATCGCGATTCCCCAGTCATGTGAGTTGTCCCACCATGTCTCAGTTACTCCTATGATATCATAACCTATGATATCATATCCTATGATATCATAACCTTCTGACTGGGCACGGAGCTCCAGTTCCTCCTGGTTGTTTGAGAAGTTCCTCTTCTTTGTTTGATACATCATGGTTATTATGTAAGAATGTATTTTGTAACTCTTTATTGTTTACCTTTTAACAAAGTAAGAATTATATTATTTACAGGATAAAACATAGATCTCCCTACTAGAAGTGAATGTTCTTTAATTTCGCAGTACAAGGATAGAGCATCTGCAAAGCCATAGCATAAATAAAATTGCACTAAATTATGAGTTTATTTAAGCAGTTTACATGGCTATGTGTGCATGCATGTGTATGTATATGCACACATATATGCACATGGTAACTCTCTCTCTCTCATTATCTCTAGGGATTCTTTCGGAGGAGTCAGCAGAACAATGCCTCTTGCTCCTGCCCGAGGCAGAGAAACTGTTTAATTGACAGCACCAACAGAAATTGTTGTCAACACTGCCAACTGCAGAAGTGTCTTGCCCTAGGAATGTCTAGAGATGGTAAGGAGTCAGATTCCTGCTTCACACCTAAACCCTTTGAAACTCTTCTTCAGTGCTGACTTACTTAAATTCCTTGCAAATTTCTGTGACAGATTTTTGCAGGTCTATGACAGTAAATAGGAAGTTTAAAAATAAATGTACGTCTTGGTAGCATTAGGTTTTTGTTTGTTTTATTCAGAGCACTTGACTGAACATATTGCTTTATAAAATACACATTTCTTTCACCTATTTATTGTTACCTACCTGTTTCTGGGTCTATAGAAGAAATGTTTCATAGTTTAGCCCTGAAAATGGAAACTATGCCGTTTGAAACTTCAGAGGGAAGCTCCACAGTGTATATGAAGGCAAGATCCTTTGGTCCTTGAGGAGCTCTGGTCCATCTTCCAAGCTGTGGTGTGATTAGCCATGTTGGCAGGCTGAGAATGTGCGCCACACCAGAGCTGTTGGCAGGTCATCCTGGAGGTGCAGTGGAAAGTTTGAGCAAAGCTATCTACATCATACCTGCCCCAATCACCACTGCTAATGTAAGGGGTTTCCAGATCACAGCAGTGTTTTGCGTTTTCAGAAAGTATCAGAAGAAAATGGCCTACTTTTAAAGGCAGGTTATATTAATTTGAATTTCCTGGTAGCAGCATTCTGTCTAAAAAGTATACTTAAAATGTTTCATTTGAAATTGACATTCATTGATGGACAAGTCATGTAAAGAGCTATGAAGAATTTTTTCATTAGGTGGCTTACAGTTCATAAACTTGTTATAAATTTGGGTTGCAATAGGTCTTTTCCCACCTCAATGTATCTTATGTTTCATTGAAACATCTTGCTGGATCTCATCAGTCTGGGAGTGGTCTTGCAGTCTAGCCTTTGATCCATGAACTCCTTTTGGTCCTAGCATACTTGATGCCTTAGCTTCTGCCTGAGGAGATGAAAATAGTAAAATTTCAGTAATTCATCATCATGTGCTTTCCCCCTAAAAGTAATGTCTCGCAAGGATTTGAGGTATCACAGGAGCGTTTGAATGTGACTGACAGCATTGCGTTCCCAACCTGTAATTCAGGGACCACTGCATACAGGCAGAGTGATTCTTCTGACAGCATTGTCACCTTCTTTCATTGTTTACATGAGGGTGTTTATAGGTGTTCATATTTAATGACATTGAGGGGTCTTGCAAGTTTAAAATAGCCTTTATGGATTTTTTTAACAGAGAAATTGCATGTGAATTTTACCTCTCAGCCATGTAACAGATTAATTTTTATCATGTGGAGGCAGGATGCTAACTGACAGCAGATGGAGAATCCAATTAATGATTATACAATGAAAATAAACAGTGGGTGTTTGTTTGTATTACTGAGGCCCTAAAATTAAAGAAAATATGCAGTTGAATTTTTCAAAATAAAGTCAATGTATGTTGTCCATAAAAGTATGAAATGCATTGTGGACAGATTCCAGGGGCAAACTATGTGTTTGTATAAGGTAGCTTGCAGCCTGTTTGAAGGGGATACTTAAAGAAATGCAAATAAATTTAAAGAGCTGCCATCTCCTAGATGTTTTTGCACTCCCTTTTGATATTATTTTCTTTCTTTTCTGTTCTTTTCCATGATGGAAAATTTTCACATATGTAGGCTCGGACTCTTCTGGAGGGCTATGAATGAAGTATGAGCTAGCAAAAAAATGGGAACCAAGCTCATCCTGTGTTACTAATTGTGATGATTCTGAATTGATCTCAATTATGGAAAATATTATTAGAAAATACTCTTCATAATACATAAAAATGAATACTTCCTATTAATTTTGTAACTATATTTCAGAGGAATGTCTGCTTATCTGTGCTCTGATAAACTATTCTAGATGTATCCCTAATTGAAGGATCTCATTTGTTCTAGAGCATGATTAACTACTACCTTTGCTCTGAGATCTCAAAATATAGCCCAATAGGAAGCAAGAATTTAAGGACAGATGGGGGGGGAGGAAGATAATCAGATATGACCCACTGTATATGCAGTCTGTGGATTTACTCCTCATAGTTCCACAACAATCGATCTGTCTTTTTTGAAATTTTCAATCTCAGTGTAGTGAACCCTGTTCCTGGGGAGAGTAGTTTGCACTCTGATGTTTGCCTCCCGTTCTCATCAGAAGGAATGCATGGATTTTGTGCACGGAGATTATGTAAATTGATTGTGTGAATCCCTGAGTCTTGCCTCTGTGGAAAAGACGACATTAATTTGTGCTGTTTACCTTCAAGTCTGTTATTTTTCTCTCGGTTCTAACTTTAACCTGTAAGGTTTAAAAAATAAAGTGTGAAGATCACACCCTATTGAAAGGATGAAATAATAGGCTTTTAGGGCTTGTTTACATCCAAAGTACTAATCCTGTTAGTGCACAGTTTAAAGGTTTGTGGAAAATTGGTAAGTCACATGGGATATGAATTTAAAGATTGTACATTTCATACAGCTCTGGGCTGTTGTTCAGTGAACACAGAGACAAGAAAAAAGATGCATGGTCTTTTTAACATTCACAGTAGGAAGTGAATTGCTTGACTGAAGCCATTGCTATCAAAAAGGAGTGAATGTTGTCACCTTGTAAATCCAAGCACACAATATCTTTTCCTTTGTGAGATGCATATGGTGTAAAGCTTTTTTCCACAAAAAAAGGGATACATTTCCACAGAAAAAGTGATGCTAAAAGTAAATATCAGAACAGCTGTTGGGGTGAGGGGATTCAAGAAAAAAAAGAAAGAGGACAATTGTTTGCAGTGTGCTTTGATTTTCAGCTGTGAAATTTGGAAAAATGTCCAGAAAGCAGAGAGATAGCTTGTATGCTGCAGTGCAGAAGCACCAGCAGCGAATGCAAGAACAGCAGCAGCAGAGCAGCAAGGCAGAAGCCCTCATCAGGATTCACAGCAACAGCATCAGTAATGGCTTGAGCAATATGAGTAATGAAACTAGCAGCACCTACTCGAATGGACATGTCATCAACCTGCCAAAGTCTGAGGGTTACTATAACATGGATTCTTCCCAGCCTTCCCCAGATCAGACTGGGTTAGACATGACTGGAATCAAACAGATAAAGCAGGAACTTATCTATGACCTCACTTCTGTACCAAACTTGTTTACCTATAGCTCTTTCAACAGTGTGCAGTTAGCTCCAGGAATATCCATGACTGAAATAGGTAAGGAAAATTCTTATTCCTCTGGTATAATGTGTATATATAAATTAGATTACAATATCAATCATCTTTATTAAAGCATTTTACAGGTATTCTATATACAATTATACAGTAATTACATATGCACACACACAGAGGAAGTAAAGGAAAGAAAATCAGTCTGGCAGTAAACAGTATAGAGGCAATTATGTTTTTTACCAGAATCTGCAAATTATTCAGTTTCTTAAACTCAGCAGTTCATGTTCTGTTTATGAAATGGGAGCACCAAAACAGGTGATGAATCAATCAGAATCAGGCAATAATTAGTAATGGGGAGCTTGTTTCAAATGAGCTAATTACTCAGAGAGTTAAATGATCTCTTCAGCCAGCTGTTCATATTCTTGTCAGCACCCAAAATCCCAAGGGCAGCTCATTCTAGGGTATTTATTGTAAAAAAGCACCATCTCCCTACTTCTGGTGTGTGGATGTACAGTCAGAGCAAGTTCACTGATCTCATGAGATGCACAAATACAGTTGAGATGAACATAGTTGTGTGGATACCCCTGCTTGAATGCCTTAGAGAAGCAGCTCAGTCATCTGTCCCTTGATTTCTTCTTTAAAAAGTAGCAAAGTAGCAAAGAGACCTCTCTGTGAGATGAGGCAGTTTGAAAGGCCAGTTACAGATGATCCTTCTCTAGGGAAAATTTCTGTTCAGCTAATGGCTCTAGTCCTACTGCTCCAACTCAACTGGAAGCACTGCTTTCTGTTGTATAAAAATAACATGAAACAAGTTGACCTCTCAAATAGGTACCTCTCTCCTCAACAAGTGATGTATGCTGAGTCCGTTGTGGTCGAGAATATAACTGAAGTGTTCTTCTCTGATTCTCTTAATTAAAAAGAAAAAAGAAGGAGAAGAAAAAAAAGATGGTGTTCAACAGCACCCATAACAAATGAATTAATGTCACATTATAAACACACTGTAGAGTCCTGGCCTGGCCTTCCGGCCTCATGGATGTATGCTGAGAAGTGTAAATATATGCATGTACTCAGAACTACTGAGGGCCCTGGAGGTGAGGACAGGGATGATAATACTACGGATACACTTGATATATATTGCAGAAAGGGTGTATATAGTAGTTATTGTCCAATAAAAACTGAAGGTTCTAATTCTAATTTTCTAATTTCCTCGCAAAGTAATCAAATTGGTCAGGCGTACTTTGATCTTTAACAGTTATATCCTTTAATTTAAATGTAAAAGCGCTCTTTTTCCTGAACATAACTTCATATGCATTAGACAGTGGTGGAAATGGAAACTGTTAATCTTAACAATTTTGAAAGTAAAAAATTTTACACAGTAGATGTTTCAATACACGATATTAGACTGGCATGCCAAGCAAAATATAGCTTTTCCTGCATTTCATGCTTACTATTATCTCTAAATACTGTACCAGGATATAGGTGTAGAGGGAAGAGATACCAAAAAATTTAAGTTATATAGTGCTCCTTTATATGTATTTAGATATAGTATATTCCTCCAAATAGGTTCAATATTCCAGGGTATAATTGCACATTATCTGATTGTGATGAAAAGCAGGATAGGATACCTGTTCCATATGGAAAAGAGGGCTAAGTATAAGAAAGAACAATATTTGGGATACAGAAACAAATTTCTCATGTAACTGTTAGTGCTTATGACGGAGTAAACTTTGATACAATCAGGTAGTACCCCATTAGGCATTTAACAATCGACAGAACCATACCTTAGGCTCATCCCCTGTCAGTATTTTGGTTCCTCTTACAAAAAAAAAATTCAAAACATAAAGAAATCAATCTGAAGCCAGTAAATAAGCATACAGGTGCAGATCATCAGCTTGGCATTAGCTTTGTTTCCAGGCCATTTCCTTTTTATAGACATGATCTGGATTTGTAGCCAGATGGGCATAGCATAAAGTGGGTCAGATTGCAGCCATCAAATGAGTATGAAGCTGGGCAGGCATTTTTGTCTACCTGCCAGTTCTGGGCAGCATGACACCAGTGTACCCTGTGAGCTAGGTAATGTACAGGGGCTGTACCTGCAGGGGAGGCACATTCCCAGGAACCCTAGAGTAGGGTCCGGTTTCTCTCTGGCCATGGGGCCATCCACAGATCTGTGAAGGGAAAAATTCCTGATGCTGCAGTGGGAGCTCAAACTGTGGGGTAAAATCTGCTCCTTGGTTTTGAAAGTGAGTATTTGGTCCTTCGAGGAACCTCTTTCTCCTCACAGAGAGAGTTGCAGATGTCCATCACTGCATGGGAACTCTTTAAGGTAAGGGAGCTGTGTTTCCTGACTCAGGTAGCCCCACAGGAGAGCAATGCTTGCTCTCCAGTGTGATTTTAAATTAGTAGGTATTAAAGGCTTACTTTTAGACTTAATCAAATTAAAGACCATCTTGTTTCAATATATGCACATACGTCACATATGTCACTGAGCTAAGCATCATATTTTACTTATAAAAAGTACGTCTCAGATCTTGGTCTGTAAAACTTAATGGAAAGGTTTCCCTGCCTTGACTATAGTTGAGATACCAGCCTATGATTTCTTAAAGATGAAAAATATTATTAGTGTGTCCTGGTTTCGGCTGGGATAGAGTTAATTTTCTTCCTAGTAGCTGGTGTAGTGCTGTGTTTTGGATTTAGGATGAGAATAATGTTGATAACACACTGATGTTTTAGTTGTTGCTAAGTAGTGCTTACACTAGTCAAGGGCTTTTCAGCTTCCCATGCTCTGCCAGGTGCACAAGAAGCTGGGAGGGGGCACAGCCAGGACAGCTGACCCAGACTGGCC